TTTTTTTTTTTTTTTTTTGCTTTTATATATTATACTCATATCAGCTATCGTAGACTTCAAGAAAGCATATGATTCCGTTAGGAGGGAATACGATTATTGTACAATATTCTCATAGAGTTTGGATTACCCATGGAACTAGTCAGACTGATTAAAATGTGTTTAAACGAAACGTATAATAAAGTCCGTATAGGTAAATATTGTAACGTGTTGCATGTCGTCAGTCGCCGAGCAACGGCTACAATGGATTTGGATTTGTCGCTGTGGGAACTCAACGATTTCCACGTATTCGTTGTCGCGGAGTTATGTGTTCCCATTCTAGCCGTTGCGCAACGATGGACGTAATATAACACGTCACAATATTTTTCTGATAATTTCTCCCTCCAGAATGGTCAAAAACAAGGAAATGCTTTATCACCACTGCTTTTCAACTTTTCTTTAGAATATGTCGCCATTAGGAAGGTGCAGGAAAACAAGGTGGAACTGAAATTAAATGGGACACATCAGCTGTTGGTTTTTGCTGATGATGTGAATCTATTGGGTGATAGTATGGATACCATATGGAAAACACCCAAACTTTAATTGACGCAGGGAAGGAGGTTGGACTAGAAGAAAGCACAGAGAAAACTAAATATACAAGGGAGTCCAAAAGAAATGTACTCACTCTTTGATATTTGGAACAAAATGACATGTAGTTACAATTCTTGTGCGGTAGTGTAGTGTAATGTTTTCTCAACAGATGGCGAAGGTCATATTAGTCACGTGAGTGTCGTACCGCGTGCTCGCTGCGAGCGGAAGACAGCAGCAACAATGGCTGAAAGGTTGTTCTTTGAGCAACGCAAGGCTGTATTGAAGTGTTACTGAAAGTACGAAAACATTAAAGAGGTACACGACAATGGGAGATGAGTTTGGAACTCAGCCACCAACAGCTCCTGTAAATCCACACGTTCACGTGGGCAAGGAAGTGAATCTACCGGGTGTTAATGTGTGGTGTGTCTGTCATCGCGCTGTTTGATTGGTCCTTTCTTCTTTAAAGGTACCATAACTGGTCAGGTGTATCGCGATATGCTTCAGACATCGATTTTCCCTGCCATTCGAGAGCTGTTTGGAGATGAGAGATTTTACCTACAAGATGGAGCTCCACCTCACTACCATCGAGATGTCAGGGCGTACTTGGATGACACACTACCTGGACGATGGATAGGTCGAAGAGGTGCTATTGAGTACCCACCACGGTTTCCAGACCTAACACTTCTCGACTTCTACCTATGGGGAGCCTTGAAGAATGAAGTTTATCGACAAAAGCCGGCTACACTGAACGCGCTACGAGAAACCATCGAAGCGTCGTGTGCAGGCATCACAGCCGTGGTTCGCTCAGCAGTTCGGCGGCATCGACGCTGTTTAGCCGCTGATGGTGGTCACTTCGAACATATATAATGACTCTCTCTCTCTCTCTCCGCGCAAGAATTATAGCTACATGTCATTTTGTTCCAAAGATATTGACTATCAAAGAGAGTACATTTTTTGGACCTCTCTGTATGTTGATGTCTCGTCAGCAGAATGCAGGGCAAAATCGTGACATAAAGACAGATAACAGATGTTTTGAAAATGTGGCACAGTTCAGATATTTGGGAAATACAGTAAGAAATCAAAACTTGATCGAGGAGGAAATTAAGAGGAGATTGAATTCAGGTAATGCTTGTTACCATCAGAACTTTTGTCCTCTCGTCTGCTGTCCAAAAACATAAAATTAAGAAATACAAAACCATAATTTTGCATGTGGTTTTGTATTGGTGTGAAACTTTGTCTCTGACATTAAGGGAGGAACACAGACAGAGTGTTTGAGAGCAGGCTGCTGAGGAGATTATTTGAACCAAAGAGAG